GTGAGTGCAGCTACAGCGTGCGCTCTCAGGACATTATTACCTGCAGTGTTCCCTCAGTGAGGACTGAACTAGGGAAAAGGACCTTCTCCTACTTGACCTCTCTAAGTGCCTTCTAAAACATCTGCTAAGTTCATGGCAAAAATAAATACAGACATGTTCCTGTTTTTAGTATTTTATATCGCTTTACAATTTGTTTTTGTTTCTACATAATTTTCTTTCATTTATTTTTCTCAACTTATATGCTTTCTTTTATGATTGTCTACTGTTGTCATCACTCTTTGTTAAAACCACGTCTCTCTTGTAAATGAGTCCTCGAGACTCAACGCTACTAACCTTTATAAATAAAGGTTGAATGAAAAAAAGGAAAAAAAGAGCAAGAAGCTAACATGCTAGCATGTTAGCTTCTTCTGTCTCTAAATTAGCGGTTTAAAAAACTCACGGCTGAAATGGTTCAAGCAGGCGATATCGACGATCTTCCCCCGAAACTTCATTTTACATCTGAAAAGTTTTATTTAAATTTACTGTGAAGCTAAATTTCGCGGGTTTAATCTCAGGGAGCGGAGTTTGTTTGGTCCGTCGTCCAAAATGATCCGACGGAAACAGCAGCTTCAGTCGTTTAATAATTGTATCCGCTAAACAAATCTGGATTTGACATTAGATAAAAGTTGTCCAAATAATCTGGAGGTTTACGGATCAACGTTCTCTGGTTAATGCTCTCGTCCGTCACAGTTTGAACCCAAACTGGAAAAGTTTGATAAACTCTGAAACCTTCTACAGAAACTCTTATCTGAAATTAGTTTTTGTTCCAAACTTCTGTCACAACTCTGCTTTCTTTAGAGTTAATATGCATTTTTATCGATAACATCCATTCAGATCTTGTTGCAAGGTGTTCCAGGTTACAGGAGCACCTTGGAAGCTTTCCACTTTGATTTATTTAAGGGGTTTTAAACATTAGAAATGTTTTTAACTTTTTAGATCCTGTTATTCATGTTCCTTTTGTTTGTGTAGTGATGGTGCCACCTAGTGGTGGTAAATATGTTGACATGACGTCACAACTCGTTCATTTTATAGCCATCATACTTTAATGTGATGTTTGAGAGGTAAAGAAAGCGAAGTTGAGATGGGGGAAATGCCACTAGAGCTTAGGAGAACACAAATAGATGTAACTTACTTGTCCAATATTAAAGGACATAGTGAAATTAATCCTCTACAAAATACTCTTTAATCTTGTCAAGAAAAAGAAAAGAAACAATTTAATAGTTTTGGATGGATAATCCTGGATAAAACTAAAGATGTAGGAATAAATAATTTTCAATTTAGTCCTGCTGTTGCTATCCCTGTTGTCCCACCGTGGGTCCTTGTACAAATCAAAGTTGATTTAAATTTACTAAACCGAGGGAAAGAATTAGAAAGTAATGAGGTGGAAAGATGCATTGGAAGGGAATATTCAAATTATATAAAGATTTATACTGATGCATCTAAAATGTTAAATAACAGAGTTGATCGATCTTTTGTAAGTCCAGATTTAAATATGAAAAATAAAATAGTAACTGATAAACTGAGTACAGGAGAATTAATGACAATCTTTATGGCTTTAGAATGGGTCAAAGAAATTAAAGAAAAAAGGTTATAATATGCTCAGATTCAAGCAGCGCATTAATAAGTATTCAGGAGGTAGACTCAAGATATTATATTGGATATAACTCACTTCATTTTCAGGATTACAAGTTATGGGTCAGAGGTTAA